TCCTGAAAGCTTTTTAATAAAAATATATTTCCTGTTATTTCTGATATTTCGCCAGTAAGTGTAGACAAATTTGCATGGTACTTATGTAACCATCCCGACCCGCAAAAAGTTGATTATGTTCTGACAGGTTTTCGGGAGGGATTTCAGCTTGGTTTTAAAAATTCTTAAATCTGGGCAAAGCAATTGTCGATCTACTAAGAATGTTTTATGCAGTGCGGTGTTTAAAATTAAATGAAGATACGATCTTCGCACTCAATCCCGTTGAGTCACCTGAATTTTTCAGGTTCATGAGACAATTGCTTAAACTGTCTAGCAAAGTGCGAAGATCGTATCTTCATTTAATGTCGATCTACTGTTGACCATCCGACTATTATAGACGAATATTTAGCTAATGAAGTTAAGTTGGGGAGGGTCTACGGTCCAACACAGCAGCCTGCGTTGGATAATTTGCACGTCAGCCGTGTTAGCGGTTGGCTAAGACATCATCGATTTGTCCTTTCCAAACAGTTGCAGCGTTAACGATGGCATACGTAAAGACGACTTCTCTTCAAACTATAGTAAAGTGTATGATGCAATATCGTTGATTATTAGGACTGGACGGGAGGCTATCATGGGCAAGGTTGATATAAAAAGCGCTTATCGCATCATTCCTGTGCATCCGAGTGACCGTCATCTTATTGGCATGCATTGGCGTGACATTTATTACGTTGACCTCACCTTGCCCTTTGGTCTGCGCTCCGCGCCTGCAAACTTTGATAGTGTGGCAGAACTTTTCCACTTAGGTTTAGTGCATAACTGTGATGTTGGCGATTTACTTCATTATCTCGACGACTTTTTCACCTTAGGTGCACCAAATACGGATGTGTGCTCTTCACGGCTTCATGCCATACATCAAACGGCTTCTGATATTGCAATTCCTTTTGCACCGGAGAAATATGTGGGTCCGACAACGTGTTTGACCTTCTTGGAAATCGAATTGGATTCCGTTAGCACGTTAGCCCGACTCTCCCTGAAAAGTTGGGACAGGGTTTTCTTTTTTGATATGCCTAACTGGGCCACTGTTGCTGACCTGCTTATTTCAACTGATGCATCAGGTGGCTTAGGATACGGAGCATATTGTCAAGGTGAATTGTTTCAGGGAGCCTGGTCATCGGAACAAAGCTCTCGTAGCATTGCTAATAAGAAGCTGTTCCCAATTGTGGTAGCGTGTCATGTTTGGAGTGGCTACTGGCTGGACCAAACGACGAATTCAGTTCTGCTGCGATAACAAGACCGTTGTGTGCGTCATTATCACAGGAACGCCAAAATGTCAACATATTTTGCGATTGGTGGGAGAGCTGTTGCTTAGCGCCGGTCTAAATTTTCTGTATCCGCTAAACACGTGCCTGGTAAGGAAAACGAGTAGCGGATGCACTGTCTCGTTTTCAGATACGGAGATTCGTCGAGCTAGTACCGGAAGGGTATCAAAAGCAAATGACTGTGCCATAGAGTTGCTAGCTCAGCTGAGCTTGTAGAGTTGAAGAACCAAACAATGCCCTGATGTTTCAAGGCATCGCAGACTCCACCTAAAGAGATTACGAATCTGCGCAGTGGATGTTCAAAGAGTTTTGTCACTGGTCCGGCCGGTTGAACACCAATGAATCTCCTTTACCAGCTTCAGAGGAAACGCTGATGATGTTTGCAGCTAATTTATCAGAGTCAATGAAGAGCCCGTCGATAAATGTTTACCTCTCTGCTGTGCGATCTCTGCATATTGAAAACGGATTTCTCAGTCGTTGTCCGACTGTTTACGATTGGAACGGGTTCTTCGTGGTATCAAACGCTCCCAGGGTACGTCGAAACGTGAACGACTCCGAGTAACACTTGCAACATTGATTCAGATGCGTAAAACTTCCTGCATTATGACGACTGCCTTTTTTTGGACAGCATGTTGTGTTGTTTTCTTTGACTTTCTACGCTCAAGAGAGTTCACGCCATCCTCTAATTTCTTTGATAGCACAACCCATCTTGCACTGGCTGATATCACAGTCAATCGGCGGGTGGATCCCAGTGTGATAATCCTTTGGATGAAGTGTTCCAATACGGACCCGTTCCGTAAAGGCTATATCATACGGCTGGGAAAGTCTCGTCGGGAGGTGTGCGCCGTGAAAGCGTTGTTGCAATATTTGCATGTGCGAGGTGAAAGGGCGGGCCCTTTATTTTGTCATCGTAATGGGAAGCCTTTGACAAAAACAACGTTGACTAGCTGGTTACGCAGTGCAGCGGTTAGAGCAAATTAGGATGTAGCTTTTCAGCTCACAGCTTTCGCATTGGAGCGGCGACATCAGCTGACGCAGCTGGTATTCCAGACAGAGGCGTAACTAGAACGCAAATTAGGGGGTGGGGTGTGCATATTCATATATTCCGTAGTGCCCTACTGATTTCTTTTGAAAGTGATTTGAATTTCAAAAGAAATCAGTAGGGCACTACTGAATATATGATTATACAACCCCCCAATTAACGTTCTGGTTACCCCTCTGATTCCAGACCACCTGATTAAAACGATGGTAGCGTCTATTCTAGACGCCATTCCGCAACGCATTACATACCAGGCGTCTTTGACGGGTACGGATTGAATATACGTGTAATTTTAGTTGTCGTTTCTTGGTTGTTTAGTAGACCCAATTTAATAATATATTTAATAGTCTTGTACTCGTTGTGTTCTTTTACGTAGTTTTTGAGGGATAACAATCTCTTTTTTGAAATAAATGACGGCACAGAAAGCCTTGGGATTGGCTCATTCATGTCTTGTCTTAATGCGAGATAAGCGATGGCAGAAGAACGCTTTGGTTTTGGCACATGGCTGTTTTTGCGGCATGCGAGATAAGTAACGGCAAAGAGAGCATTGGGTGATGCCCCCATTGCTTTTTTTACGTGATGCGACATAAGTATCGGCGAAGAAAGCAGTGGGTGGTAGCCCCATTGCTGTTTTGTAATGTCGGACTTACAATAGTTGCACGGAGTGCACAGAGTAGGTTAAAAAGTTTTTTATTTTTAGAGGCTGTTTACATGGGTTCGTGAGCCGGGATTCAGCGAAGCGTTAAATTATTTTGGCAAATGGAAAAGGTTAATACTTCACAACAAAAAACCTATTTGAGCAATTTCTCTATGCGCTGACTTTCTAAAACCTTTAAAATGAAAACAAATAAATTTAGCCTGATTTGAAAATTACGACTAAAATGACTTATGACGCTTAAGAAAAGGTTGTAAGTTTTATGCTTAAAGTTTTTACTCCTTTCAATTACTTAAAATCATTTCACGCCTCGCTGAATCCCAGTTGCCGGGCTCATGAGAACAGCACCTTACTAGTGCCTTTGGAGAGGGAAATTTCTGAGGAAATTCCAATGGTGGTCAGGTTCAAAAAGGAGCAGATTGAAGGATGAACCTGAACTCCAAGGCACTCACCCTGGCTGCACCTAACCATCCACTACGTAAGTATGACATCATAATGTGACGTCGGGTATTAAATGAGGTTATGCAATAACCAAGGTTAATAGCAAAGGAACAGCGCGCAGGTCTTTCATCAGTTGGTTGCCTAACTCCTGACACAACCTCTTGCAAACAAGTAAAACAAACGTATACTAAAATGATAATAATGTTAGTAAATCTAACAAGGACAGAGTAAAAACAATAATTTAAATTTCAAAACTAAACAAGTAGCATTTTTAACTCGGTTTAAGAAGTAGCTTCTCCTTGAGCCTTAAAGCGGTGCTTTCCATAAAAATAATATTGGATACGTTATTTTGAATGCTCTTGTTTGATTGTTTGACATGCACATGATATAATTTGATCCGGACGAGCAGTAAAATGTATTATTAAGTACCATTTATAATGCTCAATGAAACGAAAGAGAAACTTTATCATGTATGCACCGACTAATGCAGAGGCATGAATAATTTATCAAAAATCCTCAGCGACCTGAATATTTTAACGTGTCAAAGTTCAATTGTCACACGCCATTTGCTCCACGAGCTATTGCTCCACCGGTCTCAGAACCCCTCTTCCCTAGACTACTTAAAAAGTTAGAATTACAAGGGCAACGTTTTAAGCATTTTCTTTTAAAAATTCAATTTGTCTCAATTTACAAATGAAAGTCCTGACGCTCATCTTTATTTTAATAGGGTAAACCATTTAACACTTATGCTTCTGTTTAGCTAATGACAAACGCTAAATAGATTGTCTTTGTTGAATCGTATTGTTTTCACTTGTGCTTATGTGTATTTGATTCGCGTGCCAGGCATGCAATGCCGTGAATGTTGAAATGTTAGTAAAATAAATGATGCAAATTAGCTACAACCATTCGCTTGATACAATTTTCAGCATCAGTTTCTTTTCATCGGCTCAGTTTAGAAATGTTGACATTCAAAACCAAAAAATGCTCATTTTAAAATGCACCTTATGCCTCATGAGTCGTGTCCGAGACCAAATCATTCTCAATTTCTCTATGATAACAATATGTTTTGTTAAATACAACGAAGCTAAGTGTTTCAGTTCAAGGCCAGCAGACAAAATTGACGTTTTTGACCTGTTTCTATGCCACTGAATCATTTTTAATTTCGATCAAATTAATAGCCGTTGTTTTTTATTCCTACGCTGTAAAAACATTTAGACTAAGAATAACGCAGTCTTGAATAACGACAATAATGAACGCTGACATAAAATATGACTGATAAGCCATGCACTTGTACTATTTGATCATTCTGCGCACGTGAGCCCAGTGTGACTTATTTGCATGTGCCTTAACGGTTTTTACCACGTCTGTGTAATTTTAGCCACGCGTGTGTAATTTTACCCACGCCTACGCAGTTGAGACAAAGAATAGTAATATCACGCACTTGTTGGTTTTCGTCATTTGAGATGCAGATGCGGCTGTAGCATGAGTTCGGGGCACCAGTTTAAGGTTTTTGGTTGATAAGTATAGTTGTATTAAGTCCCATTCGATAATCTAGGCAGCTTGAATTGAAGTTAATATAATAATTTCGCGCTAACTTAGCGTTTAGCAAATATATCGCATCGTCAAAATTTGCGACATGCGAACTTATGGCTTTCCGAAAGAGGTATAGCAACTAATTCCAAGGTTTTCATAAACCTTTGGCTGCTGGCTTGGCGTTTAATATACATTTGCCTTGAACGGCATTCGCCATGTTGTGAACAGATAGAGAACAGTTTGCTTCTCTCATTAAATGGAATGCTTATATAATTTGGAGCAAATGGGCGAATCGCCCTTGAATACGCCACAGCCAAACAAGGTAAGGTATGGCAAGGCCATATAATCGTTCTTTCTTGAGTAAGATAAACTGCCATGCGCACTCTTTCATCGGTATCCCCTACTCAACAAAAGTGATTCGTTCAATTTCGGTAGACGGTGTTTCGATAACGTCTCATCCACTCCCGAAAATGTTGGGTCTCTGTCATAGGATCTGAGATTATCGAAGGTTGTCGCATCGCTCGGCGAATAAATATTTTGTATGTTGGCTCGACAGAGTCATGTTTATTATCGTTCAATATACCTACTCCAATTAAACGATTGCTTTCAAAGAGCGTTAGCTTGTTTGAAAAACAAAACAAAACAATTTCGTCGCCAAACGTATCGAAGGTCTTCGATGTAGTGCTCCATGGTGCTTCCGATGCAAATGATTGTATTATACTGTATAAATATCGTTTTCCAGTTATTTTCATTACATAGTCAAGCAATCACTAGCATTTTGACTGCAACAGGCCAATTTCTTTAAATAAACGAGAAAACACACTTCAAAAAAAATCATCTTGTAAACTCAAGATTCGAGTTATGACAGCCAGAGACACGATTTAAAAAATACTTCGACTTTATTTCGAAGTCATTATCAAGCTATGGTATGGTATGCTTGATCATGTTAGATAATGACTTGGCTTGATAGCTTACAAGCTTGTTGACTTTGAAATAAAGTCGAAATATAGCTTTAAATCTTGTCCATGCTGTTTTAACTCGAATCTTAACTTTACAAGGTGATGTTATTTGGAGTGTATTTTCTAATTTATTTTTTAACATTGTCGGCTGGAAAAGGATGTTAGACAAATCTATATCTTTGACAATCCAGACTCAGAGCCCAAAATGACAGAACTGCGGGAACTAACCGGCATTAAAAAATTGTGTTTATTGCCCACGTGCTTCCTCCGTGAAATTCGCTGTCAAAATGTAGCAAGCAAATTCACTCATTCTAGATTATCATTGTATGGGAAATTTCCTGCTTGCAGAATTTAAGGTGTGGGTATTGATGAAATTTTGGGTAGATCACCATCAAACTGATACGACCAAAGCGACCTTTGTACTACAAATTGTAATGCTAACATTTCACGTGACAGTCTGACAGATCTGTTTTCACAAAACAGCAAAATAATGTTTTCGAGATCAGTCACTTTTGTTGTTAATAAAGAACATAAAGAAAATCTGTGATTCAATTTACTCAATTATTAAATTTATAGTTCACTTTCACGTCACGTGCGCTACTCACGTGTTTCATTTATGTGGTTCATAGTTTTCCGTCACTCTGGATAAATCTTCCCGCCAGTATTTTTCCCGACGTTGCAAAATATCAAAAAACATGAATAATGTACGAAATAGTTTTCCCTGGGCTGTTGCAAGGAATAACAGCATATTTTCGGAATAGACATGTAAAATTAGAGAACTTTAACCAATGACGACATTCTATGGGCAAAATTTGAACTAGCAATGAATTATTTAGTCCAAATTTTCATTGCATTGCCTGTAAATGAACATTATCAATTTATTTTACAACAAGAAGAATTTGCTCCATAAATTTATTTATGAATGGAATTTTTTGTAGTTTTCCCCGAGACCGGAAATGACGTGTGACTTGTTATTGTACGAGAAGGACAGTATATAAACATTCGACCGCCATTGTAAAGTACATTCAAATTTTGAACCCATCTTTTGTAAGACGTGTGTCAATCGTTGAGAAATGGCCTTTACAGTCACTAGTCCAAACGTCGTGTACACTGACGAGTACATTGAAAGTCTTTATCACTACGAAACTTCAGAAGTACGACAACGTGGTGCGAAAATTGAAGTAATTCCCAAGAAGACCGTTTACACGTTCAAAACAGAACGCAAAGTTCCCAAGCTAGGTTGCATGCTCGTTGGTTGGGGTGGCAACAATGGCACCACGCTTACGGCCTCTGTTTTGGCCAATAAATTGGGTCTAACATGGAATACGAAGTCGGGAACAATGAAATCGAACTACACTGGTTCGGTCACTCAAGCATCGACAGTGAGCTTAGGCACAGGGCCAGATGGCGAAGTCTTCGTTCCATTAAAAGCCATTTTGCCGATGGTGGAGCCGAACGACATCATCTTCGATGGATGGGACATTAATTCTATGAATATAGCAGACGCTATGCAAAGAGCCGAAGTACTTGACTACGATTTGCAACGACAGCTGCGTCCATATCTCGAGAAGCTGAAACCTCGCCCATCAATTTATTGTCCTGACTTTATTGCAGCGAATCAAGCTGATCGGGCTGATAATATCCTCAAGGGCAACAAAGCAACGATGGTCGAGCAAATCCGCGCTGACATACGTGATTTTAAGGCAAAAAATCAAGTAGATAAGGTGATTGTTCTTTGGACTGCGAACACGGAGAGATTCTGCGATATTCGAGTGGGGTTAAACGACACTGCGGAGAGTTTGCTTACATCGATAGCAAACAACGAAGACGAAGTATCACCTTCCTCGTTGTTCGCCGTTGCCAGTATTTTGGAGGGCTGTTCTTACATTAACGGGTCGCCTCAGAACACTTTCGTTCCTGGTGTGGTCGCATTAGCGGAAAAATACCAAACATTCCTTGGTGGGGATGACTTTAAATCGGGTCAAACAAAGATCAAGTCGGTCCTGGTTGATTTCCTTGTAAGTGCTGGAATCAAACCTGTTTCGATTGTTAGCTACAATCATCTTGGTAACAATGATGGCAAAAATCTGTCTTCGGCAAAGCAGTTCCGATCCAAGGAAATCTCGAAGAGTAATGTAGTGGATGACATGGTCAACTCAAACCCAATCCTCTACAATAAAGGCGAGAAACCTGATCATTGTGTTGTGATCAAGTATGTACCATATGTTAAAGATAGCAAACGAGCCATGGATGAATACACCTCAGAAATCTTCATGAATGGCACCAACACCCTCGTTATCCATAACACATGTGAAGACTCCCTGTTGGCTGCCCCCATCATCCTTGATCTTGTTATCCTTTGTGAAGTCTGCGAGAGAATCAAGTTCCGTGCTGGTGGTGATACCAAATTCCAGAGCTTCAACACAATCCTGTCTATTCTCAGTTATCTTCTCAAAGCACCTTTGGTGCCGAGTGGTACACCTGTGGTAAATGCTCTGTTTCGCCAACGTGCCTGTATTGAGAACATTTTCCGTGCCTGTGTTGGACTTGCACCTCAGAACAACATGCTATTGGAGCACAAACATTCCACTGCTGCTACATCTCATACAAAAAGTACTGAAGTCTATGATGGGGTCTACAAAATTAATGGACTCAAACCTGATCTTCCCTCATCACAAATTCCATCATTGAAGTCAATGGTTTAGTTATTGACATTTATTACTTTCTAAGGTTTGACAGTGTTTTGTTCTTGCCTTTTCTTGTTGCTAGAAATTGTTCCACGTTTATGTGTCTTATAGTTCTAAGCTATTTATTGCTCATAAAGCTTGCTTCAAATCAAAAGTGAAAGCTATCACTTATATGCTAACGTTTGCATGGCGTTCTTTGGAATTGTATGTATTGAAAGATTTATTTTAAAAATAAGCAGAGTTAACACATTGTAGTTAAGTGAAGAGATTTATAAACATACTTTCTGTATGGCATTATGGATTTCAGTGCATTTTGAATTGTCGGTTAAAGTGTTGACAAATGTTCACCATTATTTAAAAATTTAAGTTTGTTATTCTTTATAAATGTGATGAAAAGTAAAACAAGATTTTGACTGCTGAGTTTTACAAGTGATGTAAAATTGTTTCACTTCCCTAATTAAAATATTTCGTGAATGCTAATCTAATAAATCAATTGTAAAGCTGCAAAATTCAAGAAAATCTTTTCGTATTAAACATTATGAACTAGAAATCCACATTGGTTCATCATTTTAGAACCAGTAAATTAGCTAGTGAAAGCTAAAAACAAAAAGTATAACTAGAAATACACATTGCTATTATTGAAATGCAATAAAACATGTATGTATTGTATTTCATTCAGTGTAACTATTAAGAAATATACATTGCTATTATTAAAATGCAATGAAACTTTAATCATACAAGAGCTGCATAAGAACTAGACAGATTTCTTGCAACTTGCTTCTATTATTTTACTTAATATATATAAATAAAATGTTGAAATTATAAAAACTTAATGACGTATGAACTTGTGGCACCATAACAACAAGCCACATCACGCCATCATAAGATAAAGACCACAGACATGGACATTGGCGTAATAACAGACCATGTACAAAGTTCAACAGCCATATATTAGTCAGCAAGAAAGATAACAATTAGAATTATTGCGAAATTTGACATAATTGCGGAAGCACTAGCAAATTTAGCCGGGTATTCACCGCTGCTAGCAAATCATTTGGCAAAATGACTGTAGATGTTTAATTTCATTCATCGTTTTTTCATTGAATAAACACAAAAATGTTTGCATAATAGGAGTAAAATATCAGGCTTGCTTAATCGCTAAGTGGAAAAACACCCAGGAATTAAAAATAATCGTGAATAGTTTTTGGTTGTGTTTGCATTAAGGACTCGGTCCATGGAGGGACTCTTTAGCTACGTATATGGCATGTTGGAAATTTTAAGTGGTTTTGGTTCGGAGTAAATTACCTTTTTTTATAGTTCCGTCAAAATTCAGTGACATAATTTGTTAACAGAGACAATTACTAAACATATCTAACTTCTCAGCGATGTTCACATCTGAACTGTAATTTAGCAATCATAGTTATTAGCTATAACAGATATGATAGTTTGGTGACACAGGCCCGTTTCAAACGGCGTGCTTCTCATGAGCCGACCTAATTTAGAGTATTTTGCACGTGAGAAGCGCGACGTGTAAAACAGGCCTAAGTTGGACGAAATTATTAAAGTGCGGCAGCGCTATTAAGTTTGACAAGAACAGTCGTGCTAAATGTATTAAGCGCGACACCTCGCGAATTTGATTCAAACGGCGAACTTATTATGTGCCGCACCTAAAAGCTGGGTATAAACAGTAGTCCATTTCATACAACTCTATTCATTGTAATCCTAAAATGTCCAGCAAATGATTACGCCAAGTTCTCGCGCGGAAGCGCCATTTGCAACTGTTGTCAAGAATGGCTATGGCTGCTAGTATGGAAGGTTTGAAATATGGGTTTTGCAAAAAAGACACTAAATACAAATGCTAAATGCATAAATTGTCAATTGCCGGCTTGCAACTTGTGTACGGTATTTGAAGAAAATGAGGACGTTAGTGGTTTGATATTAGATTTATCGGTTGGTTATTGCATGGAGTGCCAGTTGAAGACGGAGCATGGAAAGCGCGAAGATACAAATCTCATGGATGATACTGAAAGATCATCCGAGAATTTTGATTATGAAGTCCAATTAACATCTTCACCGTCACAAGAAGCTATCAATAGGTATGTTTTGTCACGGACTTTTACTTTATTTATACCCAAGTGCGGATGGCTTTTGATGTTCATGCATTCCATGTATATACTATTGAAAATATGAGCGTTCTTTCAATATAAGCGTTCTTTCAAAATGTGCTGTGACACGTATGGATTCTTATAAACTCTTCCTGTGTGAATTGTCTAGTGAATTACAAGGGTATGACTCTGATGCTACGTCTAAATCGAAATGTAGAAGAAAGAAGTCGTTAAAAAGCAGGCAGGAAAGCCTTGAGATCAGACGCCACATTATCACTTCTAGTGAGTACTACAAGAAGAAATTGATTGTTACTAACACTAAAAATCAGAAGAATAGCCAAATTTATGTAAGCATTCTGACTGAACTGAAGAGCAGATGTGACAAAAGAAGAGAACAGATTTTACTATTGTGCAAATGAGAAACAAGTTGAAAAAATACATAAGTTAATGAAAGCATGCAGCAGTGACCATAAAGACAGCAACTGGCATCAAAAGATTTCAACAAGATAAAGGATATGGTTCCTGGTTCAAGCATCTCTTTGCTTTGGTACAGACTAGAGACTCATACCAGACAGAGATGGCTGTTGAGCCCTCCAGCAGTAGCAGCATGGAGACTTCCGGAGCTGTGCGAATTTTCGAGAGGTCTTTGGTTTCTAGAGGGCTGAAATACAAAGATATGCTTGGGATGGGGATTCTTCAACATATAACACCATTGTTGAAAGAAAGCTATATGGAGAAGAATGCATTCCAAAAAAGTTGGAGTGTATTGGTCACATTCAAAAGAGGGTTGGGAGTCGTCTTCGTAAGTTGAAGAATACAATGAAAGGGGTAAAGCTTGCTGACGGGAAAGGATTGAGTGGAAAAAGAAGGCTTACAGATGGAAAGATTGATATTCTTCAAAACTATTATAGTTTATCTGTCAGAGGAAATATTCATGATGTTAGGGAAATGGCAAAAACAATAAAAGCGTCAACTGATACTAATCCTTTGCATCATTTTTGTCCTGATGGTGAAGACAGTTGGTGTGGCTATAAGAGGGAAAAGGACAACTACAAGCGGAGGATTGGCATTCCTGAATGTAAAGGTAAGCTCATTGAGCCCATATTTGAAGAATTGAGCAATGTTACTTTGTTGAACAAATGTACTCATGGCTTAACTCAAAATGTTAATGAATTTCTAAATAAAATGATATGGGAACAATGTTCGAAGACCACATATGTTGAACAAGAGACTGTTGCTCATGCAACATACTTGGCTATTCTTAAATTTAATGATGGGGACATAAATTTGTTAAAGATATTAAGTGAACTGGACATAACTCCTGGAATGTCAATTACATTACTCCTGTAATTTACAAGTAAAGGGGCTGAAGAATGTGATCATCATCAGATAAAGTTGTCGGCAAAGAAGAGTTCAGAGAAGGTGAAAAAGCAAAGAAAAACATTAAGAAACATTAGAAAGAATTATGTTGACAATGCTACCCATAAGGGAGGAGTTACTTATGAAGCTGGCAATTTTTAGGGCTTCCAGAGGTATAATATAGGTTACGTAAACTTTAAATGTTGTTTTCTCATTTTTGGTGATTTTAGCACTTAGTAAGAACTTTGTGACATCATATTATCTTTGTTTTTTTGTCAGAGATGCCTGAAATTTTGTAGATTGAAGGCTAGTAATATTATCTAGCACTTGACATTTTTCAAATTTTGATATTTTGCATTGTTGATGAAATATTTACTCGTTATGCATAAAATGTGTGCCAAAAATGCAAAATTACTGAAGAAAATCAAATTTTGGAATATATTTTTGTTTATTAAGAATCAATAAAAAATTGAAGTGTCAAGCACTAGATTATGTTCTAAGCTTTAAAAAAACATTTAATTTGGATCACTGGTTCTCACGATATCATGTTTGCAGCAAAGTTAATTTATTGGGAATTAGTGGCCACCATGTTGGATAATTAGTGTAATTAATGATATTCTAATTTTTCCCATCAGTTCATTTCCTTCATTAAAGTCTTTCAAATACTGATAGTTTCTCATAACTATCTTTAAAAATGAAAAAAATTAAATTTTTTATATATGACTACCTAGCTCGACCTAATTAAGTTCGACGTTTGAATCAAAGTCAAATTTTTGTGGACTTGGCCGAACCTAATTCAAATTAAGTTTGAAACAGGCGTTATTATAACTTTCTACTTTATCACAAGGAAAGTCTGCGATACCATGCAAACGTTACATAAATACAAGATTGGCCTCACGAATAATCTAAATGTGCCGATGTCACAGCAGTGCGTCTATGGTTACAACTTACGAGTGAGGCAAACCTCTGCCAATTTGAAAAGTGGCAAAACGCTCAATATTTACAGAAAAATCTATTTCTACTGCGTTGACGTGGTTGACATACAGTTGCGGAGAAGATATTCTCGGTTTGCTTTTTAAAATGTTCTATACGATTGATTTTTTAAACTTTGTTTTAAACTTTATTTTTACCTCACCTTTCACGGTAGTCAGACTAGCAGTTCTTAAAGTGCCCATATCTTGTTTTTGCATTGTGCCATTTAGATGGTTCAGGCTACTTTAAAACTTTGCAATGCATTTTATAATTCCAAAGTATGATCTTTGGGGGATTTTTTAAACCCAAAGTTGAAAAATTAACCATTTTCACTGTGTGACCGCCAGTACAAAAAAGCTGGTAACTATTGTTATTGTTGACGTCACAACGGGAATTCATTTGTTGTATTTTGTTACCAAATTGGATGCTTGTCAACATCCAATGTAATTTACGTGTGTAATGCATTAAAATAGATATGACTTTGAGGATATTTTGTGTGTAAAATACAGTGTTTAGTTTTAAGCGTGATCCCGATATGACGTCAGATCTGAGCTCTCGCCCTACATTTTTTAATTTCACGGTCAACCAAATAGTAGTAGACTTCGAGCCCCAGAAAATGCACGAAGATCGAATTTTGGAATTCTAAATTATTTTGCGAGCATGTTTCAAATCTTCTAAACTATCTACATTGATCAATTGCAAAAAGGCACTCACAGACAAAACATCAAATGAGAGATCACATGACAAACCTGGAGTCGTCGCATTAACTCCTTATTTCTACTTGTTACATCTACAAAGAATAAGAAAAAGAGCAGATTACAGTAAACTATAGCACTATGCAGACATTCAAAATCTCTATTTGATTTTTCTCAATTTTTTTTGGTATAAATTACAAAGTCGATCTTGTTTGCTAGTACTTGACGATAGTTTATTAAAGATTTTCAATTAAACACTGCGCAAGCGACGTAGTAAACTATAGTAAACTAAAATTTTCGGACAAACTTAAAATCGTGAAGTCACTTTATTGGATGCATGTACCTTATCGACCTTTCACGGTGAATAGAGAATAGTGAACCTACCATCGCGCTCTCTTTGCACCTTGACCAAAACTTCACTTTCTTCTCTAAGCGCCTTAAATGATAATTGTGTTAAAAAATGAAAGTGTTGTCTCAAATGCGTTCAGCTTGATTCGTTAATATGATGTATGAGATATGGACTGCAAAAGTTGCTTCAAAGTTGTTTCAACTGAACAACGTCCATAAACATTTTATGACTCTCAAACATGTGTAACTGAGAGCCGTAGTTGGACAGTTGAACACTTCAGGCAGTTCGATTCTGCATAAACTACTTCAATAGGACTTCTCTTGCTATAGTAGAAAGTGTCGTATTTCTCCTTTGCTTTGTCCTGCAAGTAGTGCAGTGCTAACTTCGCTGGTTTCAATTCTGGATCCGACAGAGAAAACTCCGTCTACGGCTACAAAAAACTCAAGCTTCAGTTACGGTAGAAACTTTACATGTCCGAAAATTTCAAATAATTCTTTTTGTCATAGTGGAAAGAAGGTTTTAGTTAAATAATGAAACTAAATAAACACTAGCTTGCCGATGCCCCCTGTTTGGCATTCCGTTTTTAAGTAGCTACTCTCCCTGTCAGAAAAAAACTCGCTACGACGTCATTGATGACGAAGGATAGGATAAAGTAAAAATCGTCAAGCAATGTAGGTCATTGGTCCTTTTAAGGGTAGCCACCAACACAGTAATAATGAATTCTTTTGCAAATTTTGTAGCAACCAAATTTGCAACTTTTGCTTGACTGAATTAGTTTTTGTAAAGACATGTAACTAATTTGATGAGCAGCTTGTCTTAGAATCGCTGTGTCGTAAATGAAACTGTCGATTTCGGCGTATCTAACAATGCATTAAGGCATGTTGTTGATTACCATACCTAAAATATTCTATTTTTGTGGAAATTTTACTTTTTTATCAACAATAACGCCGCATGCTTGCTGTAATTTTTGTAGGAATTTGGACATTTATTTTGTCAGACCGCTCAGAAGTTTACAGACTGTCGAAGATTTTGCTTTGATCTCAACTCTGACTACGGAAAAAATACACCAAAACACAGCTTTTAATGCCTCGAGTAACCTAGCTTGTTGTTTGACTGTTCTGTTTCTAGGTCCCAACGTATTGGCAACAGGTAATGCATTTTAGCTAAAGTACTGTGGGTTGAAGAAACATTTTCAATGCAGTGTTTTCGATACAAACCTGAAGATATTTTTCTACATCCTTGCATAATCTGTGTTGCTTTTCAAAGTTCTTCGTGAGTTCGCTGTTGGTAAACAAAAATATAAAATGAAGAACAAAAACATAAAATGGTGAGCTAGACCAATGTAAAAAACTTGGGGAATATTTGCGAAAAACTTGAATGTTTAACAGCGAATTTCTTACTCGTGCTCATCGTCCATTTGAGGTTTATTTTCTTTGGTGCCAAAATGTTTCTTCACAACAACATAACTCTGCAGTAACCTGATAAAAATACACAACTCTAAAAAACTTATGGACTATAATTTTTTGGGGGAGGGGAGAAAGTCGATCTTGATCTTCTTGTGTTGTTGCTTAATTAAGTTTACTAGTTCCCATCAAAGTTGGGGGTCCCTTCTCTTCCCATTCTTATAAACTATCTATGATTAAACTTTAAATGAAAGTACTCATTGTGTCAGAAATGATAGAAACAGGAAAAATTAGAAGCATATGTGCCAAGACTTTGATGATGCTCAAGGAATATTACTGGAGAATGAAGATGTTTGAGCAAATGGGATAACACAAGGCAACACATTTTTACCTACCTTTCTAAAACCTGTTGCTTGGTGGAAAACATGGAAGACTCATTCAAAAACTGTTCTTGCAGCTTTGATACACTATATTGTTAAAAATTATGTTCCATCAATGAAAAGTTGAGACAATTTCCTTACATGCATATGAATCAACGCTGAACACTGAGCAAAATATTGCAAGGGAAAATGGGGCGAAATATTAAGGGGAAGGGATTGAACCACCATCTCTAGTGTCTGCCATTGAATATGATGAACATGCCTTTGAGCCAGTTCTGCATAAGATCTTTCATTTTTGGAATTTAACTTTTCTTGTTCAATTTCTCTCACTAAAAGTTTGGGAAAATGTTGGTTAAATGACAATTGGTGGTATATTTGTGAACAGGTAAATGCATTAAGAAATGAAATTTCATTGATGCAATATTTCATCCATGATCATCTTTATATTCAACAAAGACTGACAAAAAATTCTTAGTAACATTTAGCAGTATTGCTTAGAAGTGTCAATGAGAAATGGACAGAAATTCCTTAAAGAAAAGGAAGATTATTTAAAGAGCACAAAACAGTCTATTCCACATTCTACAATATGACTCGCTTCAAGGTCCAGCTTTCGGTCTCCCCTCCAACTCCAAATAAATACATCCCAGTGGGTGATGTTATTTAAACCATATTTTGCAAATTGAAATTGTTTTACGAAGATCCAATTATACCTTATTTGTCTGTTCAATGTCAGTAGTAAGGTAGGAACTTAATTCAAAAATTATTTCAATTGCACTACTTTTATTGTTGTCAAACACAATATTGACTGTAATTGACAAACGCATCAAATCTTACTGCAATACAATTCTGTCTCATAGTCCAGATTCTGTTGTTCAAGCCATTCTTTGCAACTAAATTCACAACAATTTACACAATACGTTTGAAAAATACCCAAGTGATACAATTAGGGGCAGTGTGATTTGATAATTTACCCCTTTAAAGACAATAACGATTTGTCGATATTTGCATCGTCACTGTTGTGGTTACTTGGGCCTTTCTCTGACATTCTCAAAGGTTTTGCATCAAGAATTTATCGCTGAACCATTCTTTCAACGTTTTGAACTACAAAAATTTCGTCATTTCGCGCTTCGCGCCTTATGGATGACGTCTATAATTAGCATGCAAGCTTCCGCTTTACTAAAACAGGAAGTTTTGCTATTCTCATTACTTTGGATTTAAAATATCAATTAATCATCTATTATTGCAACGATATTGACTGCACTTGACAACTGAGAAATTATCTTATGAAAGCTGACATTCATATAATAAAAACTAAAGATAAAACCTCTAGTCCTCTACCTCTGGAAAAAAGTGACATTCGAAAATGGAAATACTCTCCATGGTTACAGTGGAGCACGTGCCATTAGCCACTTGCGCGCGTGGGCAATTGGTAATTGCTATGTGCTGTAGTCTTTTACAGAAAGTTACTGAATTATCTATCTCGTTTTTTTATTCTATCCTAAAAATAGTAAGCTAAAAAGCTCGTTTGTCTAAATGACTTCACTCCCACCAGGTGACGAAGTTAAAGATCTACTGGAGAAGATGACTCTTGGTGTTGTTAAAACTTTAGGTAGGTAATCTTGCTTGCATTTTGTATTCTTCATTACCGCGAAAAGGCTTTCTCACTTTTTACCATTGTTATTTTGCATCCGCTGGTATTTCAGTGTGTATATAACTTGTGTGAATTTTAATTTTATCAGTACAAGTAAGTTGGAGCATCGGAAAGGAGGCTGTGTTCGAAAGGTTTACGTGGATTAGCTTATTGAAATTTAGTGGCAGATATTCTATAAAAAAAGGGGGGGGGGGGAGGGGCTTGAGATTTTTGGAGATTCCTAGGCATACCTATTTGGTATACTTTTAAAATTTGAACTCCAGAAATTTAATTTAAGGATTCATACGTAAACTTAATTCTTCACACACAAGGTTAATGTGTCTGCTAGTGTGTGTACAGTACAGAAGTCTATCAAATAGTTATTATTTAACATCACAGTTATGTTATGTAAATGTTAGTAGCAGTTGGCGCAACCTTACTGGTGCTTGGCTTGGCTAAAAAATGCAATTTTCTTTTAAAAAGAGCACTTTTTGATATTACTTTAAAAGTTAGGGGAGAATGTGCCTAGCTGTCCTCTCCCTTCTTACACCACTGTAAATATGAAATTTGCATGGTAAGCAGTCGCATGTCTGAGTTATCATAGTTTAATATACATATATACTCTCCTCCCGGTTATTTTTAGGGAATTTTGATGTGTGGGAATTTTGATCATAAGTATTCTGAGATGTTTGATGGGACAAATTCTTGTTTGATGGGACAAATTCTAAACTATGTGTGAATTAATAGTGTGCTGGCTAAAATAGTAGAAATGGCAAAACATTTTTTCAAACCATATGCAAAAACGTTATGCATTGATTACTTGCATGCAAATTGGAATTATTTGTAATATGATATCAATATGATGTTTTATATTAATGCTGCATCATATTTATAAGGAGAATGGAGTATTTGTTTAGATGTGACAGTTGTGACTCTAAGTAGTTATATAACAAATAATTTTGATTTGATTGTGAGTTTGGATGTACATTTTTCTAGAAAAAATTTGCAAATTGTTTTTTCTCTACTAATTCTCCAACATGATCTTTTTAAAAATATGTTACAACTTATATTAAAAAACCAATCCTTCACAGTGACAACAGCTATCATTTTACCAGATGATCAAAGATAATCACAAGAGGGTAAATGCCCCAGTATTTACAATGTAATTAAAAAATGCCCATCTCCTGCCTACTTACTATTTAAACAAGATTTTAAAATATACATGTTTCTTGACAGAGAGCAAGCCAGGTGTTTGTGATGTACAATTTGAAAACTGTACACCTGCAAAGAAAAGTGCTATTTATTCCTGGGAACAGGTGTGGATGTGTTAAATATAAAATTGATTTTCACCTATCATAGTTTTAGGTATAATTGAATGTTTGTTTTCTGAATCAAGGGGGGGTGAGTGAGGATGTGTTGAAAGTATTCATTGATTTGTTTTCTGATTGAAATGTTTGTTTTCTAAAGTTGGGATGTGTAGGGTGTGTGTGGGTAGTGTAGGGTGTGTGCGGGAAGTGTAGGGTGTGTGTGGGTAGTGTAGGGTGTGTGCAGGTAGTGAGGGGTGGAGTCACATTGGTTGTGGGATGCCCAAAGTGGGAGTTGTTGTACTGCACTTTGTTATACAGGTTAAAACTGGGAACATCCTTACTCTGACATTTGTTTGTGTGTGCTCAAAATTTAAAGCTGGTTTTAGGTTATACTATTGCTGAACTGGGTTTAAACAGATTTTCAAGGAGCTTTGGTGGTGCTAAGGTCAAACTCAACGGCTTCCTCCGCTGAGTTCAATCCTGGTCCAGTAAAAAATTGGCCAGCAATTGGTTTCAGCTTGAAGTGGGATGAGTTTGCCAACTCTCAACAGAAGCTCACAGTTTTCCTCCAACTGGAAAAAGTTATCAAGAGGGTGGATGTATATAGAAATCTGAGTCCACAGTGACAACAGCTATATCAGTTGTTGAGTTTGTTCTGGGTGAACAAATTAAAAAAATATAGGTTACATTAACACATATGCCCTGTATGCTGAGTGTCTTCTAACCTTACCCAGTGCTACTTTAAATTTTTTTACTGGCAATTTAAATGCCTCTTTCAGTTATCATATAATTGAATCTTAACTATTTCGATTTTTGTGATCTTATTTACAGAGAAATATGTGTACATTGCCAAATGACCTGAAGGACTTCTTTTTGACTACAAATGGCCTGTCAATTCAATGGTCGATTATATTTGATGGTGAAGTTTTTTAAAGGAATCTGAATTATTTTATACGGCATAAAAATAACCGACGATGATATTAATTATTTTGATCTAGTAGTATTCTTCCAGGTTGTCATTAAATTTTAGAGTACGTAGGTGGTTGTATGAAGAAGTAAACGGTTGGGGTTAAATAAAGGACGTACGGAAATTAAGAAGTTGAAAATTTTAAACGTTAGTCGGGCGAAAATATGGCGGAACATTTACTGTGTGTTGGGAAAATACTCACTCCCCTCCCTCCTGGAAGTTATAGCTCTGTACGCCTATGGCTAAATATCACACTAATATACTAGAGTCCTCACAAAAACTCTACTACTAGAGGAGTCCTCACAAAAACAAACTCTACTACTAGAGGTCAACACTAAACTGCGCTTGTAACGGTATTTTCTAAAATGGTCGACTGCGTTGATTTGTAGTACACAAATTCGCTACTATTAGAAGTACAATGACGTTGTTCGCTTGTTCATGTTAGTGAACAAAAACTTAAGACCTTTAAATTTTTTTTGAACCAGGTGAAACTTTGCCAATAGGAAACATCCAAGTTAATTCAATTGCTTCCCTGGTGTCATTAAACCAGTCGCCTATTCCTCCGAAGCGCCATCGTTGTTGGATCTCGATGATATATCGGACGGCGAAGGCTTCCACGGTCACGACAAACCGCATTTCGATCAAAGGAATAAGATTTACGAGTTGGATTCTTGCCTCGGATTTGCAAAGTTTGTTTGGTCTTCAAGAATGTTGCTAATGGTACGTAAGATGTAATGTGACCGTTCTTGACAATAGCCTACAGCCTTATCATAGCTGTACCTGCATGACCTGCAAAACTTTCATGTATTTCGTACACAAAGTGAAAGGTAACAAACATTAAAGTAGTGCAAATATATTGTACATAAGATTTAAAATAGTGAAGATTTTTCAGTCTAAAGAGTCTTATATTCTTGCAAAATCAGTATTACCGATTCGTTGATATCATTATTGACAAATGGAGCCGTAGCTACTTCGCAAGCTTCGGTATTTTCACTATAAAAGGCTCGTTCTGTTGTTTACAGCTAAAACAAAATTTTGACGAAGCGACAACGACAACAAACTTCCTCGTGCCATTCCCTTACACGGTCAAACTTCGTACTCGTTGTCGTAGTCGTACTCTTCCTAAAGCTCTCTACTAATGGTCTGTCAACGGACAATGATTGGCCAGAAAGGCTTGCCGAACGGCCAATTTTTTTATCTTGCTGGTCATTTTGACCAGCTTAAATTTTTACGTCCTGCCAAAAAGTACTTTGGTCATGTGATCATCGATTGAATGGGAGCATCTTGTGAGTTTAAAACGTTCGGCACGTGAATTTGTTGTCGCAAGAAGTATCTTTCACGTTTTTTGGTGCATTTTATGCATGAAGTGAAGGAATAAAGTATTGTAATACGAATAAAGAGTTCTAGTATGTTGTTTACGACAAACGACAAACTTTGCCGTTCAGCGATCTGCTTGCCGTTGAGGTTTGTCGTTTCCAAAAAAGTTGAATTTAACATGACGTTTTGCGTTTGTTTTACAATTTGCATGGTCTCGAGTCAAATTTTATGTTTTGTTTATAGTTTGTCGATGAAAAGACATATTCATGTTGTGTACACAATAAAAATATACCATTGTGCCATAAACGTCACTTTGTTGTATTAAAAGTACTAAAAAGTCTACCGTAGATAACCTACTGCAAGAAAGGTCTCTAGATGTTCAAACCTAAACCGCCATCTGCAACGCAAACTGCAAATCCACGATCACATGATTTTTCATGATCACATGTTTCTTGTCCCGTAAACCCTTCATAAACAGAATTTTTACTCTGCGTTTCAAAGAAGAAGGACACGTTTATAACACATTAAAGTGCCCATATCATGTTTTTGCATTCGTGCCATTTAGATAGTTCTGTTAATACTTTTGCAATATATTTCATGGATCGAAAGTATGATTTTGCTGAATTTTTTCGCCCTCAAAGTTGAAAAATTGATCATTTTCATTGTCTGACCGCCAGTACAAAAAAGCTGGTAACTGTTGTTATTTTTGAAGTCACAACGGGAATTCGTCAGTTGTATTTTGTTTAAAATTGAATGCTTTTGAACATCCCCGACACAAGATGTCAACTTCGTGTGCAATGCAACCAATACAGTGCTTTCTTAAAGCGTGTTTGATTGAAAAAGTCAATTTTTACCAAGCGATACGACTACACTTTCCAAACGTACTCGAACGAAAACGTAGCGCTACGCAGCGTTGTAATATTTCGCGACAATGAAGAAACCAGTTTTCTTCAATTCGTCCCGCGTTGTGGCACAAAGTTGAAAATGACGAACATTTATGTTTTGGAAAGCTTTCAGTGACAAATTTTGTTGTAAGCTTTACAAATCACTGTTTTTTATGATCTATGGCAAGAAATATAAACATCTAGCAATATTTAAATGAGAAATGGCGTCATTCTTTCACAAACAACTAACAAATTTCTACAGCAAGCGACACTATGTGTAAAATTAGCAAAACTGTAGCGGAATTCAAACGGATCAGTTTAAACGCAGTCGATTTTTCGCTCGTAACATAGTCTTAAGGCCTGTTGACACGATCCGATTTTGTCGGATCCTAAAAAAAAAGATCGTTTGATAATATATAAAGTGATCTTTCGATAGTCGAATCCGTCAGTCTAAAAAATATGATTAAAATAGAACTTGCTGTATTTTCATCCGACAATATCGAAGAAAGCCGACTAGTCCCAGACCTCTCACTTTCTATACTTTTCAAATTTCATTTGCAAAATTTATCGATAAATGTACGTACTCGATAACATAAATGTCCATCAAATCCGATCATGTTAACGGGCCTTTATGCAAGTTTGTGCCTACATACCTCATGTCCAAAATTTTTTTTTAATCCCTTCGTAGGTGGCATGATAGATACCTCTCCAGAAATCTGGCTGCTGGATCGTTCGTTGAGCTGGAGTTTCTTGGCCTCATCTTTGAAAATTATTTCAGAATGCTAATAATTCATCTTGGTCTGCCGTTATGGCAATATCGTTTTTCAACAGCTGGTCTCAGTACGGAGACGAAGGTAGCTACTTATATATTGATGTACTTGCGTAATTTTTTGTGCGTGTACCCAGCCAGAGCCGCCGAGAGAAATACGTGGGCCCGGGAACAAGGGGAATTTCGTTTTGAGCCAATCAAAACTCGCAAAACGCAAAAATGTAAAGGAAAGGAGTGAGAAAACTGCACTTTGTTTGAGCCTTTTGGTGAGCTACGTTTTTAAAATTTCGACTTAGAACCGAATTTATCGGCTGTGGAACAACAACTATATCACACGCGCGAAGTAGCACTATTCATATGCTTGGTTTAAAAGAGTTACCTATTTTACTGGCGAAATTTAGCAAATTTTTGCGCAATGTATAACTATTATCTTAATGAGCTTGAAGAATTTCGTATTTGACACCTGTCATCTTGTTCTTGTCAGAAGTGCGTCGTGTAAGCCTCTAGCAACCAATGGTCTTGCCATATTTCTCAATGGCAGCGAATCGTCATTATTTGGTGATTTTGGTCGAAATTTGACAGTTTTAGTTGCCTTTCAAGGGCATTTTATGGCTAACGTTCTGTCTTGACGAAGAAAAAACTTTAACTGTCAACCGACTGTTGATTGTGCTCCTTGCCAACGACTTACTCTTCTTAGCGAAACGATTGCTTGTTGACAGTCCAGGTTTGATTTGAGTCATTCAGTCTCTTCGTTCAAGGGTTTCTGATTTTGCTAGTTCTCCTCATCTTCAACTACGGTTGAATGTAGCTCTGCCTTGGTTAAGACGGCTTTGAAACATTGGCAGCTTTTCACAAATATTCGATTTTAACTGACGGATCAGAGATGTTTGACAAGTCTTACTGTTGCATATGCTTGGGCCTGGCAGGAGATATTGACATTCTACATGAAATGAATGACTGAACAACATCGAAAAGCCTTTTACACACCCATGTTTGTTGCAATTAGGTAAATCCTTTTTTCTTTGAAAAAATTTGATGTATTTAAACATGAAATTTCTTCCTTAGCAACACAAGAAACCTTTGTTATATTTTAGCTAAGTTTATTACTAATTGTAAAATTTTTCTGATCAAACAAGTTGGAGTGTTAACGAATTGTGCCATAAGTAGTTTGACAAAATATAATATCTTGCTATTTTGAAGTTGACAGTCGAAATTCATGTACTGTTCTAAGTGTACACTTGTGCAAATTAAGATGTTAGGTTGAAAAGATATTTCAAGTGCTAGAAGGCAAGATACTTAGAATTTGTAACTTTAGTGTACAAGCTGCTGCTAATTGAAACAGAGGCATACTCTTTACCCTTACCCATAGATATACAAAATGTCGATCTTTCACATTGCAGGTTTTGGTGGGTTTTCCACTGAAGTAAAATCTAAAGGCAGCAATAGGTTAGTTACATTTTTTTCTAAATAAAGTTAAGATACCTCCATTTCGCATGCTTCACCTGCTGAGAGCAACAAGAACCATACATTTCCCCCATCATTGTTGAAATGTTGCGTAATGTTTGGTGTTTGATAATATGTATTTAACTATTGGCAAGAAAATTCCCAACGATGTATGAAGGTTTTCAAGGATTTTTGGATACATAGAATGAATGTACAGTTGAAAATCTTTACTCAATTTTAAGAGAAAAAGCTAAGAACACTAATTCTGCAGATCATATAGCACTTTAAGTTAAAGAAATTGATAACTGTATGCAAACATTGCAACCATTTCAGTCATTGTTTATACCATTAAGGATGTTTACTTTTATCATGACCCAACATTTCAACAATGAAAGCGGAAATGTATAGCAATTATTATATTTTATCAAACTTCTGATTCATTAAACCTAACTTGCTTAATCAGAAAATTTTGACAGTTGGTGATAATAGATTTAGCTAAAATATAACAAAGAAGGTTTCTTTTGTTGCTAGGCAAGATATTTCATGTTTAAATACATCAAATTCTTTCAAAGAAAAAGGATTTACCTAATTGCAACAAACGTGGGGTGTTTAAAAGGCTTTTCGATGTTGTTCAGTCATTCATTTCATGTAGAATGTCAATATCTCGTGCCAGGCCCAAGCATATGCAACAGTAAGACTTGTCAAACATCTCTGATCCGTCAGTTAAAATCGAATATTTGTGAAAAGCTGCCAATGTTTCAAAGCCGTCTTAACCAAGGCAGAGCTACATTCAACCGTAGATGAAGATGAGAACTAGCAAAATGAGAAACCCTTGAACGAAGAAACTGAACGACTCAAATCAAACCTGGACTGTCAACAAGCAATCGTTTCGCTAAGAAGAGTAAGTCGTTGGCAAGGAGCACAATCAACAGTCGGTTGACAATTTAAGTTTTTTCTTCGTCAAGACAGAACGTTAGCCATAAAATGCCCTTGAAAGGCAACTAAAACTGTCAAATTTCGACCAAAATCACCAAATAATGACGATTCACTGCCATTGAGAAATATGGCAAGACCATTGGTTGCTAGAGGCTTACACGACGCACTTCTGACAAGAACAAGATGACAGGTGTCAAATACGAAATTCTTCAAGCTCATTAAGATAATAGTTATACATTGCGCAAAATTTTGCTGAATTTCGCCAGTAAAATAGGCAACTTTTGTAAACCAAGCACATGGCAAATGCTACTTCGCGCGTGTAAAATGTTTGCTGTTCAACAGCCGATAAATTAGGTTCTAGATCGAAATTCAAAAGTGCACGCGAGGAATTTGAAGAAAAAGTGTTGCTTTACATGAATCTTTAGTTTTAATATTTATTTAATCAAAAGCGTAGCTCACCAAAGGGCTCAAACAAAGTGCAGTTTTCTCACTCCTTTTGTTTACATTTTTGGGTTTTGCGAGTTCTGATAGGCTAATTTTTAAAAGCGTAAACAAACCCCTGATTGGCTCAGGACGAAACTCCCCCTTGTTGGGCCCGAGGTAATTTTTTGTCTCTGCGTCATATGACGTCATCATAAGGTGTTATGTCTAATCGAGTGCCCCTTTATAGGTTTGCAACCTGAAGGAAAATCCACCGCCAAGCCTCCATTTCGATGGGGCTAGTTACGTATGTGCTCGCACTTTTGGCGTTGATAGGAAGATCATCTAAAGTGATTTTTATTCAAGATTTACCCGTTATCAATTTGACACTACACTCAGCCAGTGACGAAAACAACTCTCCCCCCTCTCTGGATGGACTTTTTTTAGAATCTTCTATCCACCATTTTTATGTTTGCCGATTGTATTCACCGCTGATCCTAGGGGGTGGTGGTAGAAGGGTGGCTCACTTCCCCAAAAAGTGAGCGTTTCGGTCGGGTCAAACATGGTAACTTGTGGGATGTTAAGTGTTTCACGAGCATTGCATTTATCGGAAATTTAAACGTAAATACTATTACGAAATTTTTGACAAAATCATTTCTTCCAAACGATTTTTCCAGTGATAACATACAAATTTATACCACTGTCTTTTTTGGCAAATTAATTCCTCTCCCCCAAATCTTGAGACCCAAGTTACGCCTCTAGGTTTACTCACTATAACAGAGCTTTTTAGCATGAGTACGACTACTGGTACGAAATTTCACCGTATAAGGGAATGCCACGAGGAACTTTGTCGCTGTCGCTTCGTCAACTGAACGAGTTTGTCAATAATAATATCGATAAATCGGTAATAGTAATTTAGGGAGAATATAGGACTCTTTAGAGAAAAAAAAAACTATTTCGCATGAAATGTAAAATAGTTAAATTTTTCTATCACTATTTTTACACTTAACTTTGTGTCCCAATACGGTAGTTTTGCGTATCAAGTTTTCGTTTTAAATGTACTTTTGCGCTCAAAAATGACACTGAAGTAAAGCCTGGATGGTCCAAAGTAGCAGTGTAAACTAATTTCTTACACATTAAAAAAATATACCGACTATATTATCTCTAAAATACATCGTAGTGGGGACTATGAGTTTTGAAAAAAAACATCGTACTCATAAATGACGGCGACGTGTTGTTGTTGTCATAATTATCTTTTTACTTCAAAATGAGGTACCTGTAGTCTTTGCTAAAGTTCGTTAATAATGCCGGATTTGCACTGAATACAGCAAGATGCGCTAAAATCTTTGGCAATCTTTCTCTAAAGTTATTGATAAAGTTGTTTATCTTGCTGTCAATAAAACCACTTTTTAAAATTTGTGACATTGATCTCACAGGAATGGTTCAATCTTTACGCGCCCAGCCGGGTCACGGATGACTTGTCTGATGAACACATGAACGTGACGTCAGCTGAACAGACCAATCAACTAGACCCAAACCGCGTATTTAAGGGGAAAGCAGATATTGTGAAAGTGCAAACGAAGCAAGGAAAGAAAAAGCTAGCGGCTAGAAGTACCACTTCATCTAAATCTCAAGGAACTTCTGCAATCAAATCTCATCGATATTAGGACGAGGTTTGTCGTTTATTGTTGCGTTTTGTCTAAGTACAGAATGTGTTCTTTATAAACTTTGACTGATTAGATAATTAGTACAGAGCAAATTCTTGGAGTTTAAGTTAAAACTCTGGCTTTGGTTATAACACGCTTCAGGTCCGGTAGAAAATACGTATCTAGGTACGAAAACCCATTATTTCGCAAATTTTCACGCTTTTTTTCTTACTAACAATGTTCAAAGTCTGAGAAAAAGCTCGCCCAGTCATCAATGATGAATGATGATCGTTCTTGTACAGCGATATGAAAGTTGAAAGCTTTTACTTTTAATTTATTCATTATCTGCAATATTCACTAAATGCAGAAATTGATGACTACTTAAAAAACACAGAGAACTACTTATTTTTACTGACTGAATATGATTAAGTTGTTAGCATCTCTTGAAATTGCAATCTTAGGTGTTTCAGTACTCCTAAGTTTCATAATATTCGTTTAATTTATTACCTGTCGCCATCTTGTTTTATGCCAAAAATCTTGGAAAAATTGCGGATACACAATGATGCAAAACAATAAAATGGCGAGTTTGCGGGGATGTGTAATCCATTTTGAATGTGATTTTACCTCGACATCTTTGAAAATTTTTTACATTTTCACGAGCTTTGGTTACTATACGATGGTGAGCAGAGAGACATTGCCAAAAAGAAGAAAAATTTGATGGAAACAATTGAGTCTCAGAAAGGTTTCTTAGCAATAATGACGAGACTGACGCTACCGGAGATGAATCAGAGATAAGTGAGGAAGATGTCACACCGCGGCCAGTTCATTCCAAATCAATGTCGCTGCAAAATCTCTACATGGATGCGTTAGAGCTAAGATGTAACATCCGGGATTACCCTTCTGTAGTGTTTTATTAACTGGCCCGCTGTTGAAAGATAACTGAGTTTTATTACTAAACCTTCGCCTTTTATGCAATGTGAATACATAAGTATGAATAAATGAATTTTATAAATATTAATTATACTACACCTTCTACATGGTATGAACATTGGCTATCATTGTCTTCCGATATATCCGAGGACAGTGTTAAAAAAGTTGTTTCTTCATTGCTCTACAATTTCATGGCTTGGCTTTTCAGAAAAACTACAAACTGCATAAATCTTGAAGAAAGCTTCAAAATTAAGTTACTTTCTCTATGCCAAGATATGGTCTACAATTGCTCTAGGGGGAAAACACAGACCCCAAAATCCTTAGCTCTGGCAATGGCAGTTAGACAGATGTCTGGATGTTCCAACTTTTAAGTGGTCTGAGACATTGTGTATCGTTGTCATCCACAATGAGCTATGACATAGCTATTGCTAAATACAATAAAGAAACATCTACAGTGATACCAAATGAGTTTGTAAAGAAGAAAGCTGTTAACTTCGAATTTGGGATTGGGAAGTGTTCTGACAAATGCCTGAAGTCCGATTAAGAAGAGCCCATTAGAAGAGCCGGATGAGTGTGATGATAGTGATTACGATGATGCTGGCGATACACATGACAACTTCATAAGCGATTTTTATGAAATTTTCTATTAAGAATGCACTGCTCAGCAATTTATTATCGTTTCAATATATACAGAAAAGGATGAAGGGTTCCTTCGCAATTCAATTTCAAGAATTGTTTTTCAATTTTTGCCCATCAAGCAGCTATGGAAGATTAATAGCTAAACATATCATTTCAAATTAACTTAGAAAGATTGTTCCTTAATCATTATGTAGCAACGATTTTTAATTATGAGCCAGCAAATTTAGCGAATTTTTACACAAAGCAATATGTCGGATATAGAAAATAAATGTCAAATTTTTGATGGCTCTAGCTCTCTTGATTGCAAGTTTTCGGGGTGTAAACAGGCAGATTTATATTATGTGTGTACTTCTACAGATGTACAGATAAGTACATCTATGTTGCTTTTACTTAGTCATGAATTTTCGCATCTCAATCTGAACAATAATCCACCATAGAATACGCCCTATTAGTTAAATATTAGCTATACAACGAGCTATTTATCGTGCAACTTTTAATGCCCCATATGAGAAAATCATTAAATTTTATGAAGCATGACGCAAACTTACGATATATATCTTGCGAATATTAATTCTTAGCGATTATTGATACAATGCACTCTTGTGGAATTTAGTTGTCAGTAATCTGGAAAAATCACAGCGAACGTAAAACGAGGCATGAAAAATTTCAGCCATAGTCCGATGTTTCATTGCTTCTATACTGTCGTAGCTTGTCACAACAGTTTACTAAGTCACCGTAAAAATCGTTTTTCAGTTTTCTTGCAGATTTAAAATCCATTTATAAGCAAAAGCAAATTTTTACATGTGATTTGAAAATTCCTTTATTGCTGTAACAAAAGAGACGGTCAAAATCAATAGTGCATCCTTTAAAAAAGAAAGAGGTCTAACTGAATCCAATCAAATTTCATAGCATGTATCATATGTAGACCATTTGTTTTTATCTATATCCACCCTGGTTGCCAAACAACTGTCTGATCTTTGCGTTGTGTGGATTGATTTCACCAAGGAAATGCGGTGCGATTTTCCCCAATGCTTTAACCAGTACTTTGGCTGATAACGCCATCGCGTTTTGATTGGGATGAAAACCATCCACGGGCTCTATGAGTTGCCAGGTTTCGTGACCCTTGCCCATTCCTTTCCACATTTTTATGGACTCTTTGAAGAAGTTCGGGATGAAAGCTAAATCGAAATTTTTGTAAGTGTGCGTGCGCACAATGTCCTGCAAAACGCCGCTGAGTGCCTCTGCATGCTTCGTGGTTGCGTTGCGTACTGTTGCGTTCGTGTTCAACCAACCGGCGCACGGTGAAATTTCCAAACAGTTCAAAAAGTCGTAGAGTTGCGCATAAGTGACGTCCTTGCGTAGCTTACCGATCGGATGTATGCGGGCATGCATCGAGTCATATAACACCCTGCCATCGGCTAAACCGAGAATTGTCACGTGACTACCGCTGGGCAAAATTTTGTCAAGCGTTTCCATAGTTTTCAAAGCATTATCTTTCATTTGTTCCACTGTTGTCATGTGGGTAACCACGGGATCGTTACTGCAAACGTCGTTTCCGACGAGAGCATAAAACAGGAGTACTGGTTTGTCCGTTGTTGTGTTGCGCTTTAATGCTTTGACTAGGATATCGTTCATTGCAAACGAATCAGCGCCATTTTTGCCGATGTTTTGGTAATCCCTGTGATTACAAAGGTTTCGTTCGACCACATGCTTGTAAACGGAATCGATTGGTCCCGAAATTAGCTCAGGCCAATCAGATTTCTCGTAATAACCCGTGAAGGTGGACATCATTGGCCAATCAAATTGGTTTGTTAAAACAAACCAAAAGTGTCTAAAGATTTCGTGTCTTAGCTCAGTCGCCGTTACCCATTCCGGAGGCACCCGAAAATGGGCTGTCACAGAGTCGCCAAGGGCTATCGTTCCTTGAGACGTGGTGTTGGCGCACAACAAATCCTCCCACGTACGCCGCTCAAAAAGATTAAATCCGTGGATTCCATTGCAATTGGAGTCAAAGATGATGTCGTCTTCGATCGGTTTTCGACCTGGATAATACGTACTCCAAAGATCATTACAATCTTTCCCTCGCCACGCGTAGCCTCGCAACTCTTCATAGGAGCTGAATAGATCGTCGTCCACGTCGAAAAAGGGCTTGTTTGTGCTAAAGATCTTCCGTATTCTCTCGCAGATGTCTTTCACAACCGGCAACGTGCATACGTCGAAGCCTAAGGTTATACAGCACAATATACTGGGTGTATAAAAACCAAAATTTACAAATCAAATTTTCCAAAATATGTCTTCGCGTCCAGCAGTATTATGCCTTATTGTAAATGTTAAAAAAATTGGAAAGCGAGAGAGCAGTTTGTAAAAGTTTAGAAAATTTGATAAACATTAAGTACCACTGCGTATCGTTTCTGAATTGGACTTTTTTTTTCACTTCACTCTCGAGAAGTTTTTTTCTTATTTAAAGTGCTTATGAAACGCAATGTTATCGGAAATTTGTTTGATTGTATTAGATAGAAGATAGAAAAACGACTTTATTCTTGAATTGTGCTTTTTTCTTGAAATATTGAATTTTGACCTGTATGCAAATGACATCGTTTGACATCACAGAGCACAACGACCTTTTCAAGAGTGTCAATTTTCAACATCGTTAGAACGTTTTAAAAAAAGTACAACTGTATAACAAATAAATGCGTTGTTGAATATTTTTAAAGATGCTAAAATTAGTATTTTAATGCGAACTGTCAACAAAAACTAGCTTTTCCGAATGCTAATAATTAGGTCTTAACGACCATTTGCATATTGAAGAAAAGTTACATATCTCCATAAAAAAAAAAATAACACAGTTCTATTAAAGAAGTTATTAAGTCATTTGAAATTGCTTTTACAATGCAATCAAAATACACTGTATTAAAATTTGGTGTCATAAACACTTAGACTGGTTACATTCATCAGCAATTGTTTCAATGACGTAGCTAAACAATGAAGATTTATATTTGAATGAATGAAAATTTGGGCGGGAATGGAGAATCGGTGAAAACTTCAGTTTAGACTCTCATTGTTTCAACATTTAGATAAAGCAGGTATCAAAATACTTAGACGTAAACACATTTTATGATAAAGTGATAGTTTTCTGGACATATTTAAACAGGGATGGATCCAGGATGATTTTGTAGGAGGGGGAGTCTAGTTTTCGTAAGATGTTGTTCGGTGAGTCTAGTTTGGATTCGATTTTTTTGGCTTTGTGGGTGTCCATTATGTCATTCACATGTCAGACAAATTTTGGGTTTGACTTGAGGCCCTGGTAAATGTGTAGTTTGACAGTTGTTTTAGCGTAATTGCAAAATTTTCACACACCCCTCCCTGCACCCTTCTATCCAAGGCCAGAGGGGTTGCGCAGCCCTCCTCTAAATTCATCCTTCTATTTAAACTGTTCAAATTTTTTTCATACACCCTGTTATAGAAAAAGATATCTTCGTTGAACTCATTGATTATTTTTTAAGGTATAATATTCGCGAACGAGTGTCGTGAGTCGTGAACCGATAATATCTTGAATAATAACATGGTTGCTTCGGGATCTTGTGTTGTCACAGGGACGTTTACTGACGTATTTCCCTTATCAATATATTCATAGGGACGATTAGACTAAATACCCCTCATCAATAAAACAATACGCCTGTATTGTTTTCGTCATGTAGAAATTGCTTCAGCTTGCATCTCCACGGATGAATCATTTTCAATTATGCTAAATAAAAAGGTCAATAGATAGCATGATGTCTTCAGCAAGTCCTTTGAAACCACAATACTTCAAGGGCAAGTTTACCAAGTCGAATGTCCTCTTGCTCGACTGTTGTTACATCGTTAATTCCACGGAGTCATCAGTCAAACACAGGTAATTTCAAAATTTACAAAGAACAACCCAACGAACGACAAGGTGCAGTTTACAAAATAAACTGCTCCGACTGTCACGCCTCCTATATCGGGGAAACTGGCAGGAACGTAAACATAAGACTTACTGAACACAAACGAGCCACAAAGAAACAAGACAAAACTAATCCCATTGCCAAACATTACCGACTCACAAAGCACAACATTGACTGGGACTCGGCTAATTGCGTTACTTACAGCACTGATTATAGACAAGGCTTACACTAGAAAGTTGGTATACCAACTTGTAACAAACCCCCCTGAACAGATCACAGCAATTACCGGCACCTTACAAACGACTTATTCACATTCCAAACAAACGATCAACTAAAAACATTACACTTCACACTAATTCACAATGACAATACACAATTGACACCCACACATTACAACTAAAAACATCACACCTAAATTACACATCACAACTAAAAATAAAATATTTCACTTCACACTAATTCACAATGACAATACACATTTCCTATACACACAATACAATGACGTAAAAACCAGATAACAAATACGGCTAACCTGACGTTTACTCCTCATTTGACTCTGAAGATGACTACCGCTAAGGTTGTCGAAACGTCAGTCAACAAGAACAAAAACAGTCCTTCTCAGGACTATACCAACCTGGACGATCTACATTTACAAACATGTAACGATACTCCCGGGTTCAAACCATTTACTTTACAAGTAATTTCACCATATCGCTCAAAATTGCCGAATTTGCGTTATTGCAAGCCTTTTGCCTCAATTTATGTCGTTGAGTGGTAACATAAATCGTCTTTCCCTCGCGTTAGAAACTTTCTTGTTACAAGCTAACTTGGGAAAACCAGTGATCAACTATTAATAACTTCAACAATAGTTAAACTACAGTATGCACTTGCAAAACAAATTCTCAAGCAATTCAAAAACAGAATTCACAATTAAATAGATAATGAATTTGTTTAATGAGTTTAAAATGAATTTGTTTATTTCATCACTGACCATGAACAATGTACGCTTCAAACACCGTCGATGTTTATAAATATTCAAATCAGTGAACTCAAAATTGTATAGAATTATTGTGAAACGGAAAAGTGCCATGCATTGTTTATTCCCTCCGCAACCATGTTATTACAGAGTAAACGCATGGTTTAATGGATATTAGTGATTAAATGTTTTCTAAAGCCTCGAGAGGTTAAGTAAAAGTCCGAGAGATGCGCCCTCAGACTTTTACTAAACCTCCCATGGTTTGCGGGACATTTAGTCAGTAATATCCCTGAAAGCATGCGTTTACAATAAACTTTTATATGTAGCTCAAATTTCCAGTCCACTTACTTAATGTGTCTGCTTTTTCATCAATATGTAATCTCTCACGTGCAAATCGTCTGGCCCTTTTTACTTCATGTCGAAACTGCTCGTCGTTGCCATGGTTTGGATATGCCCTGCACTGAACATGGTGTTTTTCTGTATAACATTGATGGATCGCTTGACAGATAAAGTCGGGCGACGAAGTCTGATACTTCAACACGACTGGAAGAAAAAAATGACCAAGGACGGAGCAGCCATTTGACAATGGTGGTGGAAAAAAGGAACAAATCTTGTGAAATGCCTCTTCAAAACTCGTATTGTGGTATTCGGCAAATTGTTGATTTAAACTTACGAAGGTCGTGCAAGCAAGACAGTATGCCCCGCCGTTGACTCCTTTTGGAAAAGCATTTGCTCCATCAAAAAGTACTATTGTTGATAGAAGACAAAGAACGTAGAGCTTTATTTGTTTTGGAGTCATATTTTTGTTACGGATAAACGACTTGTATGTGCCGTCTTACTATGACAAATCTTGTGATTGCTCGTGTAACGTGTTAACATAGGATATGCATGATAACAATAATAAATTAGAGTCGTATCACGTTTCAATCAGTAGGAATTGACAGAGAGGATATTTTCATGTCTATCTCCGCGACTGAATTTGGATCTCCTATTAATCGTCTAGGCACTTCATTCAGCAAAGTCAAACGACTTGGGTTTGTCATCTTTCGTAAATGTAACAAGCCTCCTAAAATTGTTCTCCTTTAAGTCCTACGATTTTTGTCGTGCAAGCTTAAACAGATCTTTGTTACATATATTTGATGATTAGATCACTAATTTAATCATGCATTCAAGGTCACGGTTTATTAATGAGCTTCAGTCACGCGCTTTACACGTGGGGTCTATGCTTTTAATCATTTCGTTGGTCATTATTGATTATTATGATAATTTTCTTGTTCTTAAGTCATTCTGAAAAGTCTCATTGTGAAACTGTTATATTTTGAAGCAAGTTCTTGTTTTCGATAACATAAGAATTTTGTTACTTTGTATTTGGTGTTGTACAATATGCACAAAACATTTATGCTTTTTAATATGTTGAGTATATATAGTATGGCAGCCACGAGATAATGCGCACAAATATTTTAAAGCCATTTAGTGTGCTATATGTTTTCTTAACTTTGAATACTTAAATATTTTGTGATGCGCAAACAGCTTTTATACCCCTCAAGCTACAGTTGATGCTGTTTTTATTGCTATAAATACCATGGACGAATTTTGCAGGGTGAGATCCGACCGAGGAGGGTTAGTTTCATATTAGATTCACTTACCCTCCCCCTTCACGTGACCTCTTTCCTGTATTAATATGTGAGTATTTTTATCGGAAAAGATGCATTCTTCATTTGATGCGTGAGTGAGCTAGGCAAACGATGTTGAACTACGTCGAAGCTCTAAAGTTGAATTGTAGTTATGTCAGCTAGAAATACATTTGGCGACATGTGGTGTTTTGAAAATTCAAAGCTCTGATGTGACTTCACTATAACAAACGTTTTGCTGACAAATCAAGGCTGGTTAATTTTGGCGATAATCGAGCTCTCTTATTTCTTTTCTCGTTATAATCACAGAGACAGATACCTCGAATCGGGACGGTCAATTGAACAAAAAAGATTTGTGTGCACGTGATGCTTTCATGGACAACACCTTGTGCCTAGAATCTGCCTGTGGTCCACTAAATGCTTACTACCACATCGGAGACCGGACCGGACAGCCCTTGTTTGGGATGCCTTTTAACCAGATTAGTCGAGCTATGGAAACTAGGCGTGGAGGGAACTTTGGAGCGAATCGGTATTAGTAAGTAGTAACACTTTTAGCCATGTCCTCACGGATGGACACCCCCCTTAGCTTATTGTGAACTAGACTTAGCTTTTAGTTGCTTGGTATGTTTTAAAGATGTTTGAATTCGAAAGATCAACCCCCTTTATGGACGAATGTCGCTGCTGGTTTGTTGCATGAATTGCAAAATGATTCAATTTGTCTGCCCCCTTCCCCTATTCGCTTGGTCGGATCCAACCAGTTTTCTTGCTATCGCAGTTCGGGATATCGGATTTCGAACACATATCGGCCGCTCTATGCCTGGCTGTGTCTTACTTTCTGAAGTCGTGCAGATAATTAGTTGCGCAGAGACTAAGAATTATCAATGAAATTTAAACGCAGAACATCTTTAATTTGCTTGCTTTGAAATATCCCAAACGTGCGTCAAAATTATTTCTTATATAAGCAGAATAAGAAGTATTTATTATCAGCATGAAGTTAGTAAACTTCTAGGAGAGCAGCGACATGTATTGACTACAGTTCACAATTCCTTTGGATGTATCATTGTCCTATACCGCAGAGCTGCATATTTATTCTCATCATGTTCCTGTGCTATTTTCTTACTTTTGCCTTTTTGGCTTTCTTTACCTGGTATAATCAAACTCTACAGTAAATGCAACAAAAATCAAATCAGCTGCTTGAAAGTCTGCTCAACGTGGCCATTTTAAGATTTTGGCAAAAAGTAGTAGCAATAGATCTTTAAAAGATTTATGCTGTGTCAAGTTTGCTTAAAGTTCAGTGTCTACGTAAAGGTTAGAGCATGATCACGTGTGTTCACATGTGTTAAAAACAATGTACTCATCTTACATCGAAGTTTTCATTGCCATAATATTGCACAAACGGTTATATTCCAGCTATAGAAAAAAGATCAATGAAACTCAGCCAATTTTGAACTTTTTTCTTTGACTGTAATCTTCCTGGGGACATGTTGTTTTCTATAGTTAATAGGAATAAAAGATAAGTGAGCTGCTTTCTTTCCTGAAGTTTGCCCACTTGAATATCAATGGTGAAGAAGCAAGAAAGTAGTCTGACATCTAATAAATGTCCACCTTTATTTAATTCTTAACAGCCATTAGCTATATATGACCCCTATATCTTTAGTTTTGTTCAATTATATATATATATATATTTATATATACTCTAGCTATCTAGTCCAAAGTTTTTATTTGTTTTATTGGAGGGTGGGGGTGAGGTCGTTAAAATACAGTAGTTACCTTCACTGAACACAATTAATATGAAAGAACAGATCATGATCTTAAAAATTTTTTCAAGGCAAAATAGTGCATCCCTAGTTTTGACTTGTCCTCACTAATAAATCCTCTAGAGTTCATTCAATTCCCCAGTTTTAGTGGGTCTGACTATATATTTACTCTAGTTATGTGTACTCATGCTTTAGAAGTTTGTTTCATGGAGGTGAAATTATTTATATATGTACACCTCTAAAAAGACCTTTGTTTATATGTAAAATTTGCATAATATACATATATAATATAATATGAAATAAAATGTATATGAAGTTAAAAAGTGCATAATATCTGTTTAGATGGAGCAATATAACTGTAAATTATAATCAAACAATGTTTCAAGATGATTCACTACATTGTGTTTTGTTCGTGTATATATATTAATTTGCAATCCAATTATAGATATACCAAGAGATATATAATTTGCAATAAAATAGGTGTATTAATGAATATATAATTTACAGTACAAACAGATATATAAATAGATGTATAATTTACACTCTATTTATAAATATATATAATTACAGTGTTGGAGTAACTACACCATATACACTAGAGTATTCATATTTACTAATAAAACAGGAAGTCCACAAATGCTTGTATATGTATCCATTGAAATATATTTATATGTGTGTAAAATATATAAATATATATAATATACATGATAAATTTAAGTATAGAAATCAATGCATTGGTCCATATAATTACAGTTTTAGAATAATTACACTCTATCTCCTAGAATATTTATATAAATATATATATATAAGATTAGCTGATTTAATATTGATATTTTCATGTTGTACAATTGGCCATTATACATGAAATGTTACTAACATTTGCCTTTGGAAGATATGTTTTTGACAATCAATGAGGCAAATTTGTGTTTGTCAAACGAATGAAACACATGGAATTCTTACCTTGAATGCTGTCTTAATTAAAATTAACATTGTTTCGTCATAGATCGCGTTGGGACCTGGAAACCACGCCTAGCAAACTGAAACATCCGCATGCGTTATTTTGTCCCGACACGCGTGTTTTCTGTAGGTTTTCACGGAAAAAGTTGTTAGAAATGCTATGAACTTGTGTTTTTTTAAAGGAAAATCGCCAAGAATAAAGCAGAGTACTTATTGAATAAATCTCTATGAGCACCCGACATTTAATTTTTTGTTGGAATAACATAACATTTTTAGGGCCTTCTCATTTCGAAGCGGTTCGAAATGATCACGTACATGACATACGATCATCCAAACAAGGATTATGTTTACTGTAGGAGTGTGTATGACTGTGTCTTGACTGTCAAGTCCAGCTTTTGTATTTTTTTTTCCATTTTGTTTTTATGAGAGAGAATTACTTATGTTCCGTCGACATCTAAGTAAAACTTTCTTTGTTTTTACGAAAGTTACAGCTATTTTAACATTTATTTATATATATATATATATATTCAAAGATCTTCTCAAAAAGAGTAGGGCTCATTTTTATCTATACTAACCATTAAAAAGATCTTCACATTATAGTAACACAATGCCTGCTTCGATTTTTTTCTAATTCAAAGAAACCAGCAAATATTAACGTTTGAGTTTCTAATAGAATTTCCTTTATGTTGTACTCAATGTATTAATTAATTTATTCCCTTAATGTATAGAGCTCTTTTGCAAACATCCTATACACCGTAAAATATGTAGAAATGTGATTAAAACTTAATTACCAATGTCTCAGTATTAAAGTGGTACTATGACGAAAATTTTGCCTCTCGTTTTTTTTCATAGATTGATAGTGTATGGAAAAAAATGTCTTCTGGCGAAATTTTAGCGCAATGTATTTCATGCTGCTCCTCGAGTTACGTAGCGATAAAACTTGAATTTCAAGAGCCGCCATTAAAATGCGCCATATTTGAATTGTCATGTAGGAAGGTGCTTGTGACGTCATAGTCTTAATTCGCGGCTGTTTACAATATAACACTATATAGAAATAGAGATTTAAAAGGTTGTATAACTCAATTTTTTTAACATGCCTTCAACACGCTGTGTCGTGCAAGATTGTAGTAATTAATCTGATAGAAGTACAGGCATTTCATTACATACGACGAGTCTTTGAGAAGAATTTGGGTTAAATTTGTTCAGACGAAGCGCGCGAATTTTAATCCGAGTTCGCACGAAATTCGATTTATGATTTGCTCGAACCACTTCTCAGAAGATTGTTTTGAGCGTTTATTCCATTTGGGTGGTATGACTAGACGGCTCAAACCTGGTGCCGTACCTACTATTTGGAAGAAATCACCAATACCAACAACGTCAAGAGAGCGGCGTCAGGTTAGCACAAGTTACAACTATTATATACTTACATATATTGCAGATGATAAATTTACACAATTTGAGAGAACCAATAATACATCCAGGCAAATTTCCAATATATAATATACATTTATACTAGGGTTTTAAAGGAAATACAAAATGAAGTGTCTGTATCCTGCATGAACAAAGAAGATTCGTGCTATTTTCAAAAAGAAAAAGGCACAACTGAAACTCCAGACCAATCTTGAGAATGATGCATACGTAAGCCAACAATTGCTCTTCACACATACGTGCACTTCGTAAAACAACTATTCCTCAATATTCTTACAGGACCAACAGATCACGCCCGATGCACCTAATTACACGGAAAACAAAGGAAATGAAACGGTTTGTATCTTTGAAATATATTTTTGTATAACTTTTGTAGACATTTTTAAACTTTCAGGATTATGCTACGGCGTCCTGTGAGATTTGCAAAAAAAAAGATAGTGAATTAAAGATGTTGCATGGAGAACTTTACAAACTGCACACGAAATTAGCTATCAATCAAACGCAATGGATACGGACGACTAATTTAACAACAAGAGAAACTGTAACCGATGAGAGAACTGACCCTAGTATACATTATTTACGTTTAAAGTTTCAATTCACAAAAGGAGACTATAGTAATAAAAATAAAAATCTTTGTCGTAATTTAGACCAGATTTCTGAAGAACTTATGGAGGGTATGGACACATATATGTGTGATAGTGAAGAAGGAACGAAACAGAAAGATCCATATAATACAGACCCTCTCTGGGAGCCTGAGCAGTTGAGGAGGGAATATGAGAACACTGCAGACGATGATAATTTAACTCGCAATCGGTAATTTAAAATAACGCTTTCTATGCGTGTATGTGTAACAAGTTTTGTGATAATTTCTTCATTTACAGTAATGTTTCTTTCATTATCAGAGTAAATGAAGGAACAAACAAAAGAGATGTGCCAAAGGGAATTGTTTTCCTTTCTCAGCTACTTTTGCTTTTTTAACACTGTCATCATTGCTTTCACCCCAACCCAAAAGTGAAAACAAGTTGTTGTGGCACCCTGTTGAGTATTGAAAGTCAGTGCAGTAACTGTGAAGAAAGTTTTACCTGGAAAAGTCAACCATATCTTTTTGGAAAGTTTCCAACTGGCAATATTTTGCTTAGTTTTGCCATTTTGTGTGCAGGTGCTTCAGTAAGAAAGATGAGGAAGTATGTAGCAATGTATCATCTCAATCAGAGATATTCAGTACTCCATAAACCAATGGCATTGTACAGGTACTTCAAGTGCTCAAGAACATGGGGCTGATCAGCTACAGAGAAGTCACATATTATCACCAGAGACACTTTCTCGTTCCTTCCATTGTTTTATATTGGCGTAATTTTCAAAAAAAGATATTGGAATCTCTAAAAGGAAAAGAAGTTGTATTGTCAGGAGATGGGCGGCATGACAGTATGGGTCCTTCAGCAAAGTATGGCACATACACAATATTTTGCTGCACAATTGGATTAATCATTCATTTGGTTGTTGTACAGGTAGTTTTACTGGCTAACAATAAAATTAATTTGTTCCAAATACTTGAAATCTTTGTCAAAGGCAAACCAAGCAGGGAGTAGTTCAGCTATGGAGGCTCTGGGTCACCAAAAGGCCCTGTCATTTCTCCTTACAACTGGCCTAATAATAACAACATTTGTATCAGATCGACATGCCACCATAGCCAAATGGATGAGGGAAACATGTCCAAAACTGTGCAAAGAATTGGGAAAACCAGCCATCCAGCATTTCTATGACTTGTGGCACATTGGAAAAAGTATTAAGTTATATATATACCTACATCATTAGATATCAGTGAAAATTGTTTACAACAGCATGTTATTCTTATCTTATAGAGATTCAGAAGATCATGATTACATTGGCAAAAGAAAAAGACTTCCAAATCCTAGGAAGATGGAAAAAGCATGTGTGCAACATTTCTATTGGGCTGCTACATTGACTTTATCTGGAATTGGAGAAGTTAAATGGGCCAAATTTGAATCTTTTTTCTATCACATTTTGAATAAACACAAAGACTTCCCAAATAAGATTTACAGCAGATGCAGTCACAGTGATGTCCTAAAGCCAAGAGTGTGGTTAACAAAGGGTACAATATTTTGAGTTTAAAAGAATATCATTACATTTGTTGACTTCAATTTGCTAACTCTAGGCAATATGATAAAAACCCAAGTAAGTAAAATAGTTGGAATAATATTCATCTAGGATCTGTTGCTTATGAAAAGTTGAAAGGTGCACTTACCAAAAAGAAACTTGTTAAAGCTATCAAACAAGCATCTTCTGTTGCCCAGACCAGCTGTTTGGAGGGATACCATTCAGTTATTAATCATTTTGCACCAAAAATGATGCATTTCTCTTATTCTGGCATGTATTGCAGGTAAACTAAAAATCACAGTTTGATAAAATTCAAGACAAAAGAATATATGATAATGAAATAAAGTCAATTAATAATTTTCATTGTAGGTCCATCTTAGCAGCATTACATTTCAACTTTAATTTGCGGAGGGCTAGCAAGACTACACCGGATTGAGAAACTCATCTTCGGTTCACATATACAAAGTATAAGGAGGGAGAAGGAACTGTACGCAATGTTAGGGTGAAGCAAGACTTCTGTGAGTTTAATTGACGAGCATGAGAAATTAAATGCATGTGTTGTATTTACAAAACACTAATGGATTATTTACCAATTTTGTTGAAGCATACGATGAAGAAATTTACGACACTTTGCTGAAGACTCCAAGGAAAAAGCTTGAAGAAGTTGAAAATGAATTGAGGAGACACACTCCAGAGCCAATGCACATGATGCTTTCTGAAAAGCAAGCAAAAGTTGATGCAATTACCTTGTTTCGTTCTCGAAAACGTAAACTTAACACTGACTGTCCCCCCACATGCACAGATGAAGAATTACAAGATTTGCTTGGTACAGGTCAAGAGCATACAGCTAAAAAAAGAAATCCATTGTGCAAGAAATGTACAAAGCCTATGAAAGGTCACAAGAAGGGCAGTTGTCAATAATATAAATGCATATTTGTAAATTTTTGGTCTTTCGACGACAAATGAGAAATTCATATTTCGAAGCAAGTTTTCACTTTTATGTTTTATATAATACAGCGTTACGTATACAAAACATGCCTTGGAACGTCCACAATGCATCTTAACGCATTAATAACCAAATTTTGCTAACGGTTTTGAAAAAATTAAAACATTTATGCTAGCATTGTATTTCCAAGTTAGCAGTTTTTGCCAAACAATCCGTCAGATACACGCGAAGCGGCAAATCAGCATCTATGTGGCTTCAAACAAGTCTAGGCGTGTGTATATTGAGTTAGCCTTCCAGTTGTATTAGAGTTCATTGGGTCACGCCACTATATTAACATGCATTCATCATTTAGTGATTGTAGTAAAGTAATACAAAAAGCACGAGTGCTGTCGTGTAAACTTGTTTATTGAACTATCAACTAACGACTGTCCGCTTCGGGGTGTCCCATAAGGGGCAACTATCATTACAGGCAACTATCATTACAGTGATGGCACTCACATTGCTCACTTTCTACTGAATTACAGATATTCTTGTGATCTTAAAACTGTAAAGCCAACTCGTGAGAGAATCCTAGGGAATTCTTTTAACCGCATTCATAAACAAGTCCATGAGTACCATAGTAAGGTGCATATGAACAGGACCGTATAATTTTTACAAGCTAGGGAGCCTTTGACCTCGAAGCATATAACATCTAAGGGTCATTAACTATTTCACTCTTTCCTCGACAAACACCAAAGAATATTCCTCCCTTGAAATTGTTCCCTCGCCAATCTGGATCCTAGCAGTTTTAATCAGATGGTATCGCTAGATTAGAGGAGCTAATGCCAAGATAACTTCTACTTTGGTCACATTACAAAAATGGACTTAATCAACAAGGTATTGTAAATTACCTTATTAATGTATGACTTGCCTTGTTTAAGCTTCGCTGGCAGGCAGATTTATCCGAAGAGAGTTGAACGTTGATGCTAATGTAGTTCAAAAGCACTCCACCTCTGCACTATATGAAATTAAATTAGTCATCGCGTATTTTACTTTGGCGGATAATTATATACCTAGGAAGAGCTGCTAATGGTGTAGTAATGTTGGTGTACAAATTCAGGAATGAAACAGAGAACTTATGATGTCTGTTACTGATTTATAGGGTGATGGACTAAGTGATATGGCAGAAGGATTGATGACAAGACATGTAAATTCCAATGTTTTACCCCCAAAGGTGCTTTATATCAACTGTGATGGCTGTTCAGCAAAGATGAAGTAACAGTTCTATCACTTTCCAGATATTGAATGTTAGGCTAAATATCTTGCATTATATGTGTCGCTTGTCCTCAACATTGCTCTTAAGAGTCAACATGCACTTTATGGTACATTAATGCTAAGGTTGTCTGGATGTATCTTTGAATGGGATGTAGTATAAATTAAGCAACTGTATGATGGCAAACATGCTTTGATGTGTAAATTCAGCGTTTATGAAATGTGAAAAGATGAGATTATTGGAAACATTGGGAAAGTAGTAGCATTCCATCAAAATCATGTGGATTCTGGTTGATACACAAGGTAATGGTGTATGGACTAAAAGACTTGTGTATGGTTGCATATAGTCAATGTTTTTAATCTGTCATGGCATATTAACCATGCAATTTTAATGAGTGTTGTGCTTTCATGTGTGTTACTGAGGATATGAATTAAGAAACTGTGAAGAGGCATATAAAAGAAATTTAAGACATTTGTCAAAACTACTTAATGAAGTATTATTTAAGTTGTTATTTGAAGCCGATTAACCTTCAATTTTTCAGTTTTCAAGTTATAGTATGCCAAAGCAGATGCATATATCATTTAGAATAACAATTGTCACGGTTAGTCTACCTTAGCCTGATATCCAATTAATTTTTGACAGTTTTTCAAAGCTTTTTTTTAATATTCCAACTAAGGTTGATTGCATAACACAAAAATATAAGGACAGATAAAATTGGAGATACTTGATTGACTTGCATTATTAGAAAAAGTATAAAATAATAAGACACTGGAATATTATGCAAACAGTCGACATTCAAAGAACCAACTTCCAGTTTTCCATGTATATTAAAATTCTGTGGGTATAAGTCAAGGGACACCAGCACTAGTACATAAGCCCATCTATCTTCATTACCGCTTTTAGCGGAAAAGCCCAAGGTATCACCAAAAAAACCTATCTTGCAGAGATGTCAAGAAAATGCACTCAGAGTAAACTAGTGTGTCATGTGACTTTGAATTTTGTTTTATTCATTAGTGATGGCTAAACGGGATGCTCATTGTAAATTTTTTGTATGAATGAGGCTTTGCTTAAAAGTAGTTTATCAAGTATTGTGTTTAACACGATTGGAATAACATTTAATTGTCATCAGTTTTTTGAAGGATTTTGGACAGATTGCTCAAAACTTGTAAAACAATTTGCAAACACACATTTTGTGAATTTATCTGTTGATGTTGTTAATATTATGAATATTGTTAGTGCCATCCATAAATTCCCATGTGGTTTAGGGGGTGTTTACATGAATCCGGAATGACTTTCATTTCCGATCGAAACGTGATGTCAATCCATGTTTACATGGGAATCAACACAAGTATTGACATTTCGCAGCAATTTTGAATTTTGAAGATAACGAACTTAAACATTATAACAACCCCTTTCTTTTCTTTCGTTTCTGAGTTAATACAGTTTAATATTTGCATGAAAATAATTGCTGCTTTTTTCGCACTCATTTTAGCCTATTTAGCCGCCTTATTTGCTTACGAGCTTCCATTTCCCAGAGGACAATACGCATGGTGTATGCGTGCTTCGTCATTAATCACAATATCATTCCAGAATGAAACTCAATACGAGTTTACATGAGGTTGAAACTAAATTTCGATCCGGAATGAACCTTCGATCCTGAATGAAAATAGGAATGAACTCGATCCGGATCGAGTTGGAACTCATTCCGGATTCATGTAAACAGCCCTTTTGTTGCGTGAGCTCTTTTTTAAGAAAGAGCCCTTCACTTTATTTAAGCTTTCAACTGAATTTGTTGGAATTTTTCCCTTATTTGATGTGCTGGACTACCAAAGATCATTGTGGTATCTTGCACTAAATCAATATCCCATAGTGAAGTATTATTTATGATTAGCAAAGAGATTTGCCTTAAAAATATTAAAATAATGATCATGTATTGAGCAGTTACTTCAACCTATGCTCTACTTTAACCATGCTAACACTGCTTTCTTTAGGAATGATCAGCAAATTGAAGCTTTTATGTGTATGGTAATTTCATTGTACCTGTTTCGTCAAATTCCTTTGTCGAGATCTTCATTCGCCGAATGGCATTCGAACTCCATAGCTAAATGCAGTCGTTAGTCATACAATTTTCTCACTTATGGTTAGTTTGTGTAATATATTCGAGCGGCGTTTTTTTATTCTAGCTGCAGCGAAATTTCGGAAGTTGTGCTTGCGGTTAAATCTCGAGGTATTTTTAAATTAAGATTTATGAAGTAGCGCAAATTTTTTAACAGAAAGAACATCAGCAGACATCTTTTCGTGATAAACTGCCGTTTACTCACTGGCTAGCCACATTTAGATTGGCTGCAGTTGTTTCAGCGGCGGATTTGAATGATTTTTAACGGATTATTTCTTTTACTTTAACTTGGAATTTGAAGACGTTAAAACGCTTCACAGAATGGATGACTCGGTTAACTTACTGTTTTAATATTTACAAATTAATTTAAGCGAGTGGGTAAATACTAGGCTAATATATATGGAGATATGTCTTTGTATTTTGTTATTTGTAATCTAAATAAAATAAAAATTTGGAACGCTTCACGAATTTGCGTGTCATCCTTGCGCAGGGGCCATGCTAATCTTCTCTGTATCGTTCCAATTTTATTATATGTGTAGCCGAAGCTGCACGTCTCTACGAGAAATAGCTTCTTATTTATAATACAATTTGGCCCACGCTGCTATTGTGTTGGGATTAAGTATGTCAGCATACCCACTCGTTCAAATAATTTATAAATATTGAAATGGCATGTTTAATAAAGTCCTCTGTTCTGTGGCTTATGTCGTTTATTATTTAGTGTTAAGAGTGCTAACATGTTGTTTTTCTTATACGTTTTCTTATACATGTTGTTTATTCAATAAAACATTTGCGCATGCGCCATTCTACCTTCTGTGAATGAAACTTGAACAAGGTAATTAACTAGTGAATTTAGAAACTCGTTAACCAATCACGCAAAAGCAATGTTCCAAATTAATCTTGAAGTTGTTGGCCCATCACAAGCATGTATTGTTCCAATTTTTCATGAGTTAGAACTGAATCTAGAACCGCTGTTAGCCAATCACGCAACAACAATGTTCCTAATTCGCCTAAAGCCTGGTTAACAGCTACCGGCGTTCTACCTGCGAGCACACCGGCGATTCCTTCGGCGATGATCTAAGTCTCCATCCGTACGAATACGGATATTTTTAAAAACGGAGGTTTTTTTCCTTCGTTTTGGCCTTGCGTCCACACGTAAACGGCGTTTTCGGTGACCATAAACGGAGGTTTTCGAATACGCTTTCCAGAGTGAAGACTTTTGAAAACGCCGATTTTGTGTTTACGTGTGGACGTTCGAAAACGGAGGTTTTTGAAAACGATGACGTCATTAATAGAGCCCAGTCTCATTAATTTAGTCAAACGAGTACTTTTTAAAATGGCGGATCACAAGTGCATTGCTATTTTATTTGGAATAATTTCAAAGTTGATAGCATGCATTAACTTGAACGTTGCAACATGGCCTACTCAAATTTACATGGCCTGATATCTTGCCATAGCAAGGCCAAAAATGCAAGGCCATTGAATTTTCAATGAGTCAGCAAGTTTTCTTCTCAAATCTAAAAATAGAGCATGACCGGCAGGAAGTTTTTCATGAATCGTTTCCTGTTTTCTTCTGAAATGATTGTTGTTGATGTTGAGGAAGTTGTTCATTTGAAAAAGTAAATTTCTCTTGGTTAGTTGAGTGTTTGTGATAAGATCTTGATTGAGTTGT